GCAACTTTACAGATCTTCTTCATGCACCAAGAGCTTGTAACACTTGATTTTGTTGCAAAACAAACTCACCCACATGCGCGCGGGTAAATAAAAGCGCTTCTTACCTACCGGGAAAAACTTGATTTCCAACCTCACTGACAAAAGATGACTTGAACCATCAAGCCAAAGGTGACAGTGGCAAGGAGAACTCCCTTATATACTAAAGATTTAAAGGTGTGAGGCTGCTGGTGCCTGGTGGATCAGGGGTGGATCTGGGCGTGATGGGGGCTAGTGAACCAGAAAGGGGGGGATCAAACTACGCTTGATCTTTATAAGACAGAGCTTTGTAAGACAAATTGTTTATAGTTCATATGGATCACAACAGGTAACCAGATTGCGCTGTCATAGTATTTTCTATGATATGAGCACCATACACTCCTATCAATAACATTCATATCTACATATTTATTTCTTTATTTAATGATTATCAGAGAGGACTGTTAAAGAATGATTATCAGAGAACTGCCTGTTGTAATAACTTTAAGTAATAAAGGCTTATCATACTGAACTTTGGTTTGTATGACACAATGACTGATGTCCAGGTCCTTTGAAAGCCAGCTTTAAACAACATTCCAGTTGCTGGATGCTATTTTTATGTATTTTGTTCTGGTTGACATTGAAATATTTACATTTTTGACATTTTATAAAATTTTTAATAGTCATCATTGTTTTTTATAGGGGCAGAATGGCCAACTTCAAGGGACATGCATTACCTGGTACATTCTTCCTGCTGTTTGGCCTGTGGTGGTCGATAAAGTACTTGTTCTGACAGATACAGAGGAAAAAAGAGAGGCAACATGGAGACAGAGACAGACAAATGCACACTGTACTCTTCAACCGCATAGATTTAATTGAAGGAGCTCTGAAGATCTTTTTTGCATTTGTTGGTGAGCTGCGAATCACATACACAATCCCCGGGCTGGACTCCGCTTCATCCACGGTGAAAGCCGATCCAGCGATCCACAGCGCAAAGTTGATGTATTTCCTCAGCGACCAGCACTTGGCCTTCCAAAAGAGGACGATATCCGCTTCGTCATGCCTAGAGCGGATCAGCTCTTTTGGAAGGCCAAACAAAGTAGTTTCGCTTTCACAACGAAACACACACCAACAACAATACTACAGCGAGAATCAAAGTTACGCCTTCTTTCTTTGCGTGAACATTTGGGTGGTGTTATGCAAATCTTCCCACATCGTGACGTAGACATGTGGGGGCGTGTTAGAATGAGCCATTTTAGGAGGGCGTGGTTAACTCTTAACTTTTATAAGGATTATCTCTTTGGATCTGATACTTTAGTCTTTGCAACTTTACAGATCTTCTTTATGCACCAAGAGCTTGTAACACTCCAAAGAGAAAGGAAAAATTGAAATCGCATCATATTACCCCTTTAAATAAAATGCGCCCATCCATAAAAAAAAAGTGTCTCACACGGCCCCAGGGGGTGAACAAAAGCCTCCTGTAGCGAATCGATGCGTTTTTGTAAGAAAAATATCCATATACAAAACGTAATAATCACTTTATTGTAGCTTGCGCCAACAGTCCTACACGGAAGCAGTTCCGGGCGGCTTAATTAATAATTTTCATTTTTGGGTGAACTAACCCTTTAAGGTTTGTTTGTTGCATGTCCTTGTGTATCAGCTTCAGTGAATGGTTTATAACTTCAGTTACCCTTTCCTGTACAAATTAATCAATAGCCTACCTGCATACCTAGCCTAAATTGATTTTTTTTAGCCATTTTTGTGTATAATGAACTATCTTTTTAAGATTTATATATTTTTACAATACTAGGCCAATAATTATTTAAATGAAACATAACTGTCTAATCTATATAACAAGCATATAATAAACACAAAAAAGTACTTGTTTTAAAATAATAATACAGCTCCATATAGAAAAACGTAAAGTTGTCACTAACCTAGGAGCAGGTGGGCGGGGTCATCTTTTCTAAGTTACACGTTGCTGTCAGTCAAGTGCATGAGGGGCGGGGTCATCTTTCATAATGCAATGCAGGTGAGCAGGTGCGCTTTTTGACGACAGGTAACTAGGATATTTCCATCACAAGACCCGCACAGGAGCACTGGACTCCCCGTCTTGACAACACAGGCCAGAGTTAAGGTAGAGTAAACAAACAAGATTCCACCTTTTAAGATTTAAACTCTACATGGTCATCGATAGCCTATAATTAAATTATAGAAATACGTCGGCTACCACAGAGATTACTCGTACACAGTCTGGAGCTCTAACAGTCAATTTTATTTAATTTTTTTAATGAAAAAAATTAAAAGTTTTATGAAAAAATATTTTTTTATGAAGGTGGTGGTTACCGCAAGTTTAATTGCATTAACAATAACTAGCAACTATTTTACACAATAGTCAACTTGATTCGTTGCAAAACAAACTCACCCACATGCGCGCGGGTAAATAAAAGCGCTTCTTACCTACCGGGAAAAACTTGATTTCCAACCTCACTGACAAAAGATGACTTCAATCATCAAGCCAAAGGTGACAGTGGCAAGGAGAACTCCCTTATATACTAAAGATTTAAAGGTGTGAGGCTGCTGGTGCCTGGTTGGTCAGGGGTGGATCTGGGCGTGATGGGGGCTAGTGAACCAGAATGAGGGTCCCAAAGTGTGGCTGGGGGGGG